CTAAAATACGGGCCATAAGTCGAGACCAGAAACCGCTGGGAAAGTATGTCATCAAAAGAAGTCGATGGACAGAATGTTTTGGTCGAGTAATCACACGAACAGTACATTGTATTTGTTTTTTGTTCACGGATTGAGGCGTCTGTGGAATCGATACTTGAATTTCTTCGACGCATAAAATGGGAGGAATTTTTGGCGCATCGAAGAGAGGGTGTGTCTGGAAATTGATTGTCAATGTATTGGTCGATAAATTGTCGGAACCTTTTCTGAGAGCCCAACCCCTCGAACGCACGGGAATCTGGAATAGAAGACAAAATGTATGAATAAATAAATGGCGTCAAAAGTTGTCCACAAAGCCTACCCTAACATCACAGCCGGGAAGCCCTGCGCGCAGATCTTCTTCGCCATGCAATAGGGATGGGATGAGAAGAGTACGGCTGTCCCACGTGACCGCCACTTCAAACTTGTTGAGTAGATTAAGTAAATATGTCTGAGCGTCTGTCGGCGCGCACTTCGATAGCTTAAACAATTGTTTCAAGTCTTCAATCTTCATAAGACCTGTTGAATGGAAAGTAGAAGTTGTATAACAAATGCAATCATAAATTCAAACTTATTTACCATTTTGGGCGTAAGGATTAATCTCCCTTATGGTGACCACGTGTGCCAACATATCGAAGAGCCACTGCGGGTCAAGAAAATATATATCCTTAAGAGTGGAGTCTTCGTAATGAAGTAGAACTCCGTTTTCGTGGAGAAATATTGTGGCGGAATGTAATTCAGACATATCTCTGAATGTCATTCCGTATCGATTCATCATTTCTCCGATCACTGCTGTCTTGTATTGTTCCGAACGCAACACCGGATCCTTTCCCTCTTGTTTTCGCTCCAATGCTAAATAGGAAACGACGTCTTCGAGCGCCAGATAAGTGGCCGGAACTCTCTGTTCGAGTAGACGCTCTTTACTTCCCGGACATCTCAACTCAAACACAGTGTCGTAAATGAGATTACATAAGAGTTTTATATTATGTTTAGTTTTGATACTGATTTCAATGGAGTCGATGACTCGCGGAAGACCACACTTGTCGGGGTCGACGACATTCATAAACCTCTGGCGTATATTTTGCTGCAATTCTTCGGCATAAAAGGGCGGAAAGTATTCCTTAACCAAATCATAATGAGTGCCAACTATAATGACGGGAGAGTTGGGAGCGCGCGCCTGGATGTTGACCAACCACTGGAATATTCCGTCGACACCTCTCTCGCCGTCAATAATCTTCCAGACGACTAAATATAGAGATCTCTTCGACAGGAAATACTGATGAGTCGCGTAATACTCGCGTTGACCCCCGAAATCCCACGTCCTAAAGGAAACGGCGCCAAAGGATGGCTGTCCTCTCACTTTCTTCTCGAAAGTCCATTCGCAGACATCGACGCCAACCGTTGAGAGCGTCACTCCTCGCGGAGTCTTCATATTCACGTTCTTATTACCCATTCGTTTGGCCCAATGTTCGGGAGGTTTTCGCTTATAAGAACCGCCGCCCTCTTGTCTAAGCAGTTCCAAAAGAGAAGTCTTTCCGATGCCCTGAACGCCAACAATCATTAGCTTCATTCTGGCGTATGGTTTAGCACTAAAATTACACAATTAAACATTGAGTAAAATACAAAACCATTACTAAAGTGCACTAACTTTTCCAAAATAGATTTTAAATATCCAATTATATCCATTGTTTTGTATTTTTTGCTTTCAATCATTGTTTTCAAAGGTTCGGTGAGATTACAGCCTCTTGTGCTGAGATTCCATAATTTATTCAATAAACCCATTTCTGGCGGTAAATAACATATGCTTTTGTTGTCCGACAGATTGAGAACCGATAGATTAGACAAATCGCTAATGTTTTGACAAATTTCTGTTATTAGATTGTTGGACACGTCGAGCATCGATAGGTTCGCAAAAAGCAACTTATTATATCTAAGTCCTGAAATGTAATTTTGTTAGTTTAGGCCTAAATTGTTTTCTATTATAATAAATACCTTTAATAAGTGCATTATTTTCATCTAATCTCTCAAATTCTTCATTTTTTACATCTTTTTCTTCACAATTGATGACAATTTGAGTCAATTTATTGTTTGACAAAATAAGAGTTCTTAAGTTATCTAAACGATTGTGTTGTTTATGAATACAACAGTAATTGGTTTTTAAAGTTTTAATGGAAGTGGTGCTGGACTTTGACATTGGAGACACCGTTTGATTTAAATCACAAAAACAGGAATTATATTCTGAATAAGTGGCAGATTTATCGTCGAAATCAACTCTAAACCATTCGGAGATCTGGTTATGAGATAAGTCTATGTGTTTAATAGTGAGTGGAAAGGATTTGACACAACCCAAGGATTGCAAACAATTGTAACTCATATTAAGTCGCGTCAAATTGACGGCCAAACACGACAGAGTGGGAGGTATTCTTTGGAATCCATTGTGTGATAGATTAAGTGAAACTAATTTACAGTTTTGTCGCGCATCCGATTCCTCGTCGTTGTGGGCGACGGCCACGACCTCAACGTTTTGGTTCCACAGATTCACACGATTCACCTCTTTTTGAACTAAATTTGCGGTCACTTTCTTTTCACAATCCGATTCTTTGTCATCCAATTCAACGCTTTCATTGATTATCGCATTTTCTAGCAATAGATCATTCGTTAGATGTTTCGGTGATAATGAGATGGGAGTAGAAGTGACGCGAACGGGAAGATCACGCAATAAATTCAATGAAAGATTAATTTCTCGTAACTTCGGTGCCGTCCAGAAAGCGTAGGGCAAGGAATGGATCTTATTGTTGGACAGATCTATCGATACAAATATTCAATATTATAGTAGTTGTAACCGAAGAAAATCGATTTCATTCGCTTTACCAATGAGTTGAAGAGATTGTAATTCAAACAAAGACTTTGGAATGCATTCCAAACAATTGTCCTGAAGATAAAGCTCTTGGAGTGAAGGAAGTGACCAGACTTTACAATAGGAATGAAATAAAATATTATAGATATATTATAATATATAATTAATCAACTTATGAAAGGCAATGAATGACTGATAATGAGTGATACCATTGCTTTGATTTGAGGAACTGTGAGACGTGAGGGTCGATGAATAGCTTCTTGATTTCCTGAGACGAGAGAATCCAGACTTTGTGGCCTCGAGTGGCGATAATAAGTCGGTGTCCGTCTCCGGAAGGGTTTCCAAATTATTTTGCGATAAATTCATGATAACAAGTGATGGCATTTGAAACAAACAAAATGGCAATTGCTTTAACTCATTGTTTGATAGATCGAGTCGAGTGATTGCAGTGATAGCCGTCACTTGATTTTGCAAATTGAGTTTCAGTTTGATATTGTGAG